AAGCTCTTGACATGTCAGGGTGACTGTAATTCCAAAGCTAATTTTAACCATAATAAGACTCTAATGAATACCTACCAGCAGTGATTGTTGATGCCATGAGAGATGAATCTTATCCCTTAAATTGAAGCTGAAACCAAACAGGACCATATAACACCAGACGACACTGCTAATTTTTCATCCTTGTGTAATTGTAAAAAGGGATCTAACTATGCCATGATCTTCCATTTAAGTGGCAAATTAAATATCGATAGAATTAATCATAGTCTTCTAAAAGAATGCAATATGGATGAAGACGTCTGCCTGTATTTAGATTAGAAAGGACGAAAATAGTGATCTCATGCCCAATACTACTGGATTTGCTAAGCGAATAGAGTGTACTACCGTTCATATAGAATACAATATTAACTGTAGCAGGGATAACTTCAATAACCTTATGCTTGTAATCAATCAATAAATTGTGCATATGCGTCTAGCACAGAAGCCCAACCACTGAGCACCTCCAAATCCTTATGTGCCTAATACCAAAAAACAACTAGTAATGCAGGGTCCAGTATTCTTGATTAGAAAAGTCGACAACGTCATTTATATCAGGAGGTGTTTTGCTGCAATCGACTTTCGAAGATCTTTATAAACACAAGTAATGCTGTGCCTTCCTTAAGAATGCCAACAAACTTGCAAATGTAGCTAATAAGTTAACACATGTATGTTGTATTCTCATTAACTGTGGTTCTTCTACCGATTAACTAGATAAGCATACTGTAACTAGGAATGTCTATCTGAAAACTAAATCAGAAGCAGCATTATTAAATAGACAATACAAACTTAAACATGAACCAAATAAATCAAGTTAGAGCTTAAGTTTGCCCAGCCGAGAACTAAGCGAACATATCAGAAAACAACTTATCAATATGGGCTACAGAAACACTTGCATTTCAATAACTATAAATCGACCACAACAAAAATGTGAAAATATTTAGCTGTGACAAATTAGTCTCACAAGTTCAAGAATGAACTTGAAATTCGGGATAAATAGCGGAAAATCGCCTCACTAACCATCCCCAGTGCCATTGTGTACGACACTTAATCCCGCATCCCAACATTTTGAAGCTTTGGTAAGTACGATGCCGACAAGGGTACAAAGAGCTTGATAGGTATTGCGGACTAAACACAACTTCTGTCGATCTTCCAGCATAGTCCCCACCACCACCTTTTCTAATAGCAGACCAACAGCAGTGCACTCCGAAGGCAAACAACTTATTGGACTTCAGTACCCCCCACTTATGTATATTACGAAAGCATGCCTTTCTGAAATATAGTATTACCCACACCCACCCAACTAACTGATTCAAGATCACGTGTCAGGTTGAATCAGAGAATAATTACCTTACTGGTATACTTAATTCATTCAGCACAGCAAAATGTAAAGCTCAGTGTGAGTACACCACCTCAGTGCAAAACTTTTATGATAAAAAATCGATGGATCCAAAGTAACCTACCAAGTTCTTCCAAATTAACGTTGAATGATTATTAATCCTGGCTCTTTCTTCGGTTAGCTTAACATGGTACATCTCAGAACTTAGTAATTTCCATAGTTTTATCTTATCATATGTTTCGCAAATATCGTACACACAATCTCTGCGGTATTTTTCCATATAGATTGGTATGCCTATGTCTGCAATCAGTGCTAATCCAACACCGTTAGTGACTATAACCTATTATCCGCCCTAAAGTAATCTATCGAAAACTGCGAAGCTAATATGTGTCATTTAAGATGATTCAAATCTTTAATTATTTGAGATGATTTCAAATTACCAGATATTAACTGGTTGTTTCCCACAACTTTGGCGAATGCGGAGCTTGAGGCGATAAGATCTTGGGACCATTTTAACGGCCGGACCCAGTATTTGAGAGAGCTCACAAAATTAACAATGTCCATGATCTATTTCTCAGGATTGGGCTTACCTACGCTCCTTATTGCTAATCAAATAACGCTGAAATAGGAACAAGTCAACTCGCAACATGACCACCTTGGACACCAAGTAAGAGGTGTAGATCCGTTCGCTAAATTGATTGGGATGAATTTGATAACTTTTCATACAACGAACTGGAGCACATAATAGACAACCTAAAATCTGATCCTACTTGTCAATAAATTGTCAATAAATTTATCAACAATTTTGTCTTAAATGTAGAGATTTTGCACCAGTGCTATGGATCGAAATGTACAAACACAACGGCCAACCATTCTTATAAAATAGTGCAACGAAGGAGAAGAAGGGTACATCCGAATCTCGAAATAGCAACATATTTGCTGCATCGCTACAAATACATAAGGTGCCTTATCAGCCAAAACAGGAGATACCTTAAACCTTATAAATAAATTAAAGTGCAGATGCTAGACCAGAGTGCATTAACGTGCGACATCTGTATGTGTAAGCAAACTGAGTCTAAGTTTGCCTCTTGTTTTGTAAACGACCCTTCAATTGGTCACCTCTGTCTCCTGGGAAAATAGGAAGCAACTGCATGGTGATTTCCTTGTGACTTTGAAGGAGATGCAGAAAGCCACGGAATTCATAAATCTTATTAACCTATCCGAGCTCTGATTGCTTGACGTCACCTGTCAAAGTATAGTGGTCGTTGCAGAACATCTTTCCAGTATGGCTTCCTGGCTTTCCGCATCTTTGTGGTATCAATATCATGTTATACCTATGACTTGATATATCAAGCTGCTGCATCGAAATGCTTGGAAATTGTAATCAAGAACGGTGTATCCGACATTTTATGTCTGATCAGTTAGCAACATTATGGTTTTCTATTAAGGCGTAGTTGCGCTTTGTCAAAAACAATAATTCGATCACGTTTCAACGATTGCTGGAAGAAGAATGACAGTCAAAATTATTCTCTTAGGCATTCGATGACTTGCTACACAAAAGACTGAAATCTGTTTCAGAACCACGTGGCGTTAGAAAGTCGAAACTAAATAGTTTCAGCTGATACCTAGAAGAACGAACGCATATTATTATACTTGGCTAACAATATTCAACGCAAAATGAATAACCATGAGTGTTCTCGAGGAAAATCCCTTGGACTGCAACGTTCCGAGTATACATACAATTGCTTGACCCCATCAAATACAGGCGTTCATTTCTCCTTGGAATTGTAACCTAAACAGTCTGCGTTTTTCTGCAAGACTAATAGCAAATATGCCTGGCACACACACACACCGTATTTTAGTAAAAACCTGAAATTCGCCGCAATAACATCCAGGGTAATTGGCTACAAATGCAAGGTCCCGGAAAACTATCACTCTTGCCGGTAAAGTGATCCTAACATTTGGCGGTTCCTTTTACTCCTTTAATTTCTTCAAACCAGTAATTTAGCAAATGGTGAAAGCCAGACAAATGACAAGCCAAATCAACAACGATTTCTCTCTACCTGAGACATGACACATGAGAGGAAAATTAATCTGGGGCATTTTATCATGCTTAAGAGCCAATTAAAAGCGACAGGATATCACTGGAAGATTCCAACGATCCATTGTCATGTTGATCCTGCAATTTTCGCTGTCAGGTTTTCCTATTATTGTTAGCATTTGCTTGAACTGGTCTCCCTGTGATTTAAAGAACTGAAAATCAGTGTTCTAGCTGTCTGCAAAGCTATTAAGGGGCAGGTTTACGGAATAGGTCCTGCCAATGGACTGCGTTTAAATGCTAACCATAACCACAGTAATGTCGGTTACATGTTTCTTACATAATCCGCATACCCTACAAGCCGCCTAACCTTAACAGTGAGATGTGACTTTTGGTAAAAGCAACTACAAGTACAGTTACGTGCGAGTACGCATCTGTCTTCCCCACACACCTTCGCAACTTGAAAATCCCTAGACTTTTCTCACCATCTTAAAGTGTAAAAGACAATCACAGAAATCTTCGGAAATATAAAAGAAACCTTGAGCAGACAACGTACGAACAGCTAGAGGTATACAATCAACCTCTCTTTACTTTATCATTATTCGTACAGTCAACTTGTTTCTAAACCATCAACTCAGTTCCATCCGACTATGACGGGTTTCGAGTTTCGCTACAAAATAAATTTATGAACAGAGCTGCACTCAATGTTACGGACTGAATGTGCTGTGATCGATGTGCTGTAGGCCTATGTGAATCTTAAAGTTTTGAACATTTTATTTAATATGATCCAGTGAGACGAAATTTGAAATTACTTTTGTGAGCAAATGCTCACACTCACCCAGGGGTCATATACCACCTCTGGGTAAATATACAAGTCGGTATTATGTATTTATTTAGTATAATACCTGCAATCTAGGAAATGCTGCTTAGTTTCCATAGCAAGAAAACTTTGTTCCAAATGTGTTCCTGAGAGTAATGACAAGTATTGAGAAGCCGCGGTCACAACACAATAAGATTCTTTATATGCACAATGCGAAGACAATGTCTATCAACTTGGATTCTACTTGCACTTTAACAGCGCAAATAGCAGCAAACCACTAAAGGTCAAATAAACAAAAATGTATGACCATCCTGGCATTCCCAAGAAATTACTTGGCTGATCCCTAAGGTTTAAACCACGAAGGCTTATTTGCCGAAGCAAGCAATGGTTGAAAATCTGTATGACATGTACAACATTTGCCAAATGAACTATTGTGTTACAATTAATTAGGCTATGCGCACTGCCTGAATTGCTTTCAAATACCGTTGTACTGGCTAAAATAACTTATGGAAAATATAATACTCGGAAGTGTACGTGCTATTCGCGAAGCAAAAGATTATGATTGGGTTTTGAAAGTTGTAAATTTGGTTGCGTTTTTCATGAAACGCAACTGCCAGATATATCCATCCCACAATTTGCAAGGCTGATTTTAAACACCGCTAGGTTACAGAATATTTACTTGTGTTATAATTAACAGTATTCGATCCTGTTATCTAGATATATGTTTCTGAGACGCAACACGTAGGACTGTTTTTATTGCCTCTTGGAATATGAATTTAAAGTTCAGTGATTTTCTGCCGATAAACGCTTTGCAAGTCAACACATGTTCAGCAGATTTCCACTTCTCTCAACCAGTTGAAACACAGTACTTTTTCTTTCCGTTATAGGATCGGTACAAAGGAATAAAACTGAATGTGAACATCTAGTGAATGGTAGCAGTAGTGGAAATGCACTTATTTACCATATTCCGCCGAGGAATTTACGCAACTTCTTTTGCAACTATGTGATAAATGTCACTGGTAAAACGCAAGTCAGCTTGAGATTCGCAGATGATGGGGTATGTTTCTTGCCGAACTGCTCTTATGTGCCAATAAGTAATGCATGTAGTTGTTAATGGAGAGACATAATAACGTTGAACATAAATCCTTATTTTTATTGTGATATCCGTGTGTAACCATTATGTTTTTCTTTTCGATAGCCTAGCCTATGATGGAAGAATCTACATCGTACCAAATCGAGATCGCTTGGTTCCAATACATTGAATAGAAAAGGTTGCAGCTTTACTGTCAAAATATCCACTAACAGCCCCTCCCCTCATTTACCAATTCGGCAAGAGGCCCTACTTGACCGAATGGATGTGAATCATATCAAATAATGAACTACTGCATAAGCATCCGAGTCCTGGCACATCCGTTTTATAAGATTGCATACGATTACCCAACCAAAGTAGTAGGCCAATTCACATGATACACTTCGTCTGATTAGATGACAAGTCAAGAGTACACACAAATAGAGGGATCGTGTAATATATCAACTTATCCAAAGTTGGTAAAATTAGATGGATTTGTGAATCATACCCAGAAGCATACTAGGCGGGACAACATTGGAATGATTTCGGGGGGCTTGATCACTGCCATGATGGGACATAAATGTTTGGCTTCTATCAGATCTTTTCATCGGTAGGATAGGTTCCCTTGAATCACGCATCAAAGAATCTGATGCTGATGGAAAAAATTTTGTGTTTGACTGATGGCCTAAATTAGTGAACCCCATGTTAATTAACATGTTCCCTGTGATTAATTTGTGGTCCTCAGATTTTTTCAACATACAACTAAATGCTGATTTGCCGAAATATATTCCCGTTTTCCACATCATGGTTCATTGTTGCAACGAATTAGTACGTCCACAGATTCGTTTAATGTCATTCACCGCAATGCCTTTATGTCTTTACCCAAGGCTTAAACCAATCATGTCTTCTAAATTACAATGAAGTTAATGGTTTTAAATGGAGGTAAACACCTGCAATAAAAAGCAGCGAGTTTAATCAGTGTATGCGCTCATTTTTCTGTAATGATTAAAACACCAAGCTTGAATTAATTTCCAATGCTCACCATATTGCATTTATTAGATTATTTTAACTATGTAAACATATCTGGCAATATCCGCTATTTGAAAGGTGCATTAATAATGGGAGAAATTACCTTATTTTTCCCTCTTTTTGCTTTAAATCTGCCTGACGTCAAGCAACTTTACATATCGATCAAACGATTATAAGCCTCAAGCTGTTACAGTATAACGGCAAGTAATGTACGTATGAAGTTGCGTTTTCTGATTTTGTTCGCTTTGATAAAGGAATAACAAATGATACAACCGTAAAATACTTACGTACAGAGTACACGAACACTTGTTTACATTAGAATTAGTGTGACTGATATTTGCAAAACAAATATCAATTATTTGAGGTATCTTAACGCTTGGGTAGTAGGTCTTGTGCTTAGTAATCTAGATCGAATACCAAATTAAGGCTGCTTAAATTAGACGACGGTAATCCTATCGTTTCAGCGAAAGTCACTGTGATATAAAGCAAATGTTGGTCTCTCAAGTTGTCCTGCTGGTGGTCTGTGTTCGCTGAACTTGGCAATGTAGTGTGGCCCACCAGGAAGCAAGAAGACTGGGCCGCGGTCAAGAAGTCCTTTATTAAGTTTACGCTCAAATATTTATAGATTATATGCACTGTTTACAACAGTCCGTCTCCATGGCTCATCCCTGTTTTTTGCATTTTGTCGCTGGCTCGCTTTCCACTGGTTTATGCTTACTCGTGATGTTTACGCTGTCTAAATCACCTTTGCTTTCTTAGTCAATGTATGATTGGCGGGATCGAGCCCGCGAGCATCTTCCCTCGGTCCAATGCCACAAGCCTTGGCTCAAGATTGCATGAGTATGCGCTTCTGCGTCTGCTGGCAGCTGATTGGTCACTTACACGTTCAGTGGATAGTTGCATGGTGGTCGCTTTTGCGGGCCAACTATTTCCTGCTTGGCTGACCAATCAGCTCCCGGCAACATGCTCACAAATTATCGGTCTGGCCAGTGACGTTTGATTGGCATTATAGCGTTTTCAAATACCAGCATTTATAGCCCACTTCACATCCTCCCTCTTTTCGTTTTTTGGGATGGCTTTATAATATATTCCGTATTGCCTACCACTTCCTGTGCGTTTAAGGCCCTAAGCTTCGGTAGCATTTTTCCTCTCCGGTTAGAGTTGCTGACCCTATATCTGCGGCGTCCACTTCTGACGCAATCTTCTCAGTTGCACCCGATTCCACTGAATGTAGTTGCCCCCAAACCTTAACTTCATAGCTGCTCTCTCCTTTCCGGTATTCCATCACTCCTTTCCGCCAGCATCCACCGGATTCCTGTAATGGCTGCACTCATACTTCTTCTCCTGTACCTAGTGGTGGGAGGATTTTCGAGTTGCGCTCATAGTACCTTTTTGCCTTAGCATTCTGTTCCGTAGTCGGCAGTGTATGACATCGGACGGCGCTGTCTCGAGCTGCAGTAGAGTCGTAGCGGTCGATATTAGCGTTCTTGTTCGGCGATTGAATAGACGCTGCGCAGGACTCGCTCCGATATCAGTAGGTGGTGTATCCTTCGGTCCAGTAGCATTATGTACGGAATTTGCTGGGTTTCCTTGGCTTTTGTAAGTAATTCCTTTGCCGCTTTCACTGCAGACTCAGCCTTACCTTTTGATCGACTATAGTATGGACTGGTGAGCCGGTAACGAAAGTCCTACTTTTGTAAACTGCACGAAACTTTGCACTATTAAATTGCGGCCCGTCATCTGCAATCACCACCTCGGGCATTCCATGCCGAGCAAATTGGCACTGCAACCTGTTCACCACGGATTGCGTACTAGTCGTCGTAAGCGCATCGCTCTCGAAATAGTCACTAAGATAATCTACCACAATCAAATATTTCCTTCCATCGTGAGAAAGAAGGTCTAGCGCAACCCTCTGCCAGGATCTGTCAGGACCATCACGTATCATCATCGGTACTTTTTGCTAGCGTACTTCGTATGCTCTGCATGCTACACAATTGAAGACATTGTCACGTACTTGGCTACTTATTCCGTGCCAGAACAACGGCTCTCTATCTCTTGCTACGCAGTTGTTGGTTCCTAAATTGCACAATGTATCAGCTTCAGCATCGAACGCTGTAGTGCCTTTGGAACCACTACCCTGTTACCTTTGAAGGTGAATCCATTCTGAGTAATGAGTTCGTCACGAAAATGGAAGAATAAAGCCGCTCCTTTGGCAACCTTTACTTGCCTTCGAGCCATCCATTCATGATGGTATACTTCAGCAGTCTACACAATTAGTCCTCCTCAGCATATCGCTGGGGATGCTGCAGGCGTTCCTCAGTAACAGCGAGCAGCTGCTGTGTGGACAAAACCTAGGTCTTCTTCCTTTCCTGACATGTCTGACACGTGCATTCTTCACGGCGTGTCCGCAAGTTGCATCTGGTGTCCTGGCAGGTACACAATCTCTAGATCATACTTCTGAAGACGAATAACCATCCTTTGCGGGTGGCGTGGTACAAAATAGAGCGCCTTGCTGGTGATCGACACTTGAGGCTTGTGGTCGGTAAAGGCGGTAGGGTTGCGGCCAAATGAATACTCATTGAAAAGCTCCACGGCGTAAACCACTGCAAGCATTTCTTTCCCTATTTGCGCGTAACGACGCTCGATCTCTGTCAGCATCTGGCTGCGATAGTCGACAGGCTTACCGTTCTGCATGAGTATGGCTCCGACATCATACTGACTGCTGTCACACCGGATCTCGAGCGGGAGCGCTGGGTTCTAGTAAGCAAGGACGGAGGCGCACGTGATTAATTCCTTTATTTTCTGAGATGCTCTCTCCTGCTCCTCGTCCCAATGCCCTTCTCAATCTTTTGCGTCAGTTTTCGAATTGGTGCCGTTACCTCGCCTAATCTGGGCAAGAAACAAATTAGCTACTTCACCATCCTATTCAGCCTGCTAACGGCTTTCAGTCAGTAGGATGAGGCATTTTGTTTGATAGACCTGACGTTCTCAGGGTATGGTCTCTGTCCTTCAGAGCTTAGCACGTGTCTATGATACGCCACTTCCGTCCTACGCAACTCGATCTTCTCTCGTTTTAGCTTGATGTTCCTTTCAAAACAGCACTGCAAACATCAGCGAAGGTGCTGGTCGTTCTCCTCTCGCGTTGCGCCTAGAACCAAAACATCGTCTGCTACAAAAGACGTTCCTGGTGACTCGTCTAAAGCCTGCACCAGTCGTTTCTGGAATATCTTCCTAGATACCTTCGGTCTAAAAGGTAAACGCAGCCAGCGGAAAAGCCCGAACGTTGTCCTAAACGTGGTCAGATAGCTTGCCTATTCGTCAAGTAATACATACCAAAACGCAGAAGAGAGGTCGACTTTAATGAATATTCTAGCTCTGGATAGCACGGAAAGTACGTCGTCCAGCGTCGGTAGCGTATAATGCTCCCTCCTTTATGCAGCCTTAATTGGTTTTGACCAACGCACACGTATCGTTCTCCAGCTTTCTTAGTAACGATCGCCACCTGGCTAACCCAAGCTGCTGGCTCCTCAAATTTGGCTATTATACCCAAAATAGTGCGACGTTGCAGCTCGAGTCAAATTTTTCTCACGTAAGGCAATAAGCATCTTGCTGTTCGGCAGCCCTACCGGATTAGCGGATTCGATAAAAGATAATTCAACACACCCTTCTAATCTCCCTACGATTCTGTCAAAAAGGCTTGGGTAGCCGTCAACAATATCGATGTTATCTTTATACGAATGAACAAACTTTTCGTGGTTAAAAGAGACAAAACCGAGACGCTGAATAGAAGTAATACCCAGAATGGGCATAAAGTCTCCTGAGGCTATCAGGAAATCGATTTGGTGTTCTTTGCCGTTTTGCGGATTGAAGGCCTTCAAGGTGGCGGTACCTTTAGGCAGCAGCTTTGAACTATTTCACCTTTTGTGGCAATTCTGCGTTCTGTCACATTTCATACCCAC